ATAGTTAGTAGTGAGTGTGTGTGTGTGCTCGAGTGTTAGAGTGATGCGTGTGGGATATCCAGGGTGATCCAGTGTATGTGAACAGTGAGATGTTTGTGCGCTGAGGTCGCCATAGCCAATTGGGAGTGAACTCGTATCTGAAAACCATATCTCTGAGTTTTGAGTGGGCGCATGTCGCCAGTGTGCTGCGTTGAAAAGTGTGTTTGAAAACGAGTCTGATTGCAATGCCATCCTCATTACCTTGGTGGGCGCTGCATCTGGAAGGCCCCAGTTGGGGTAGAGCTACACCAAGAAGCTTTGAGGCAGAATCAGGCATGACGAGCTGAGCTAGAGCAGCCACAGCTGCTTTGAGTTGTCTTTTGCACATCAGGGCAAGGCCCCAGCAGTCGGCCATAGCCTCGGCCCTCAAGAAGAGGAAGGAGAAGGGTGGCCATGGCTATGGTGGACCTGATATTGTACCTGCAGTAGAAGGGGGATTCGGACATTGATTCTGGTTCAGCCATTCAACATTATTATTATTATTTATTGTTTGAATAAGAGGGGAGGAGAAAAGGAGGAGGAGAGTGGTTGGCGAGAAGAAGGGAATTATCGTTGGTCTTWGCTGGTGTACATCTTCTTCTTCTTCTTCCTTTCTTCTTCTTCTTCTTCTTCTTCTTCTTCTTCTTCTTCTTTCTTTCTTCTTTCTTTCTTCTTCTTTCTTCTTTCTTCTTCTTTCTTTCTTTCTTCTTCTTTCTTTCTTCTTCTTTCTTTCTTCTTCTTCCTTTCTTCCTCTTTCCTTCTTCTTCCTTCCTTCCTTCTTCCTTCCTTCCTTCTTCCTTCCTTCTTCTTCCTTCCTTCTTCCTTCCTTCCTTCTTTCTTCCTTCTTCTTTCGTTCTTCGTTCGTTCTTCTTCTTCCTTTCTTCTTCTTCCTTTCTTCTTCTTCCTTTCTTCCTTCTTCCTTTTCCTCTTCCTCTTCTTCTTCCTCTTCTTCTTCTTACTCTTCTTCTTCCTTTTCCTCTTCTTCTTCTTCTTCTTCCTCTTCTTCCTCCTCCTCCTCCTCGTCCTCCTCGTCGTCCTTGGCCTCCTCGTCCTCGTCCTCTTCTTCTTCTTCTTCTTCTTCTTCTTCTTCTTCGTCATCGTCGCCGTCGCCGTCGTTGTCGTCGTCGTCGTCTTCGTCTTCGTTGTCATCTTCTTCGTCTTCTTCTTCGTCGTCGTCGTCATCGTCTTCTTCTTCTTCTTCTTCTTCTTCTTCTTCTTCTTCTTCTTCTTCTTCTTCTTCTTCTTCTTCTTCTCCTCCTCCTTCTTCTTCCTCCTCTCGTCTTCTTCTCCTCCTCCTCCTCCTCCTTCTCCTCCTCCTCCTTCTTCTTCTCCTTCTTCCTCCTCCTCCTCCTCCTTCTTCTTGCTTGCTTCTTGCTTCTTGCTTCTTGCTTCTTCTTCTTCTTCCCTGCTCTCGCCTCTCAAGTTCATTCAATTATTTTTGCAATTGGACAGCATTGTGCTTTCTCATGAATGTGTACTTCGAAATTGGCCAGGAATCCCAGGATCACAACAACTGAGCAAGATGGGTCATGTCTCTTCCTCTGGGCAAGAATCCTAGTTCGAAGGTGTTGAGAGGGAGATGACATTGGTCAACTTGAGTTCATCTTCCTCTTCTTCTATCCTTCATTTCTCTTTTCCTTGTCTTATTTCTTCTCTCCTCTCTTTCATTTGAGTTGCAATGTTGCACTGGAAGTTGGCCAAGGATCATACAATATCCAACCACGCCTGAGAACCTCAGAGCATTGTACAATGGGATGGGGTTTTTGCTTGTTCTTTCATCCTTTTCAACTTCTTTAGTGGATCATTGAGAATTCACTACAAATCTTGTAACACTGAACAGCGAGGATATACGATTCACCATTCTTTTTTTTTTTTTTTTTTTTTTTTTTTTTAAAGAAATAGCATGCTTTATTGTATATGGAGCAAAAGGAGGCCGGGAAACCCTCCACATCTCAACCCGGACGACTGCGGCCATTACCCAGATTTGGCTCTTACTGGAAACTGGGTCCAGTGTCCCTTTCCCCTAAGAAGCTTCATGCTATTCCCAAAACAAAGACTAAACTGGATTAACAAAATGACAAAATAACAAAAATAAGGGAACCTGCCTTCTATCTTTCCACCCATCCTCACCTTAAGCCCTGGAACCGACCGCTGTTACTCGTCTTTCCCATTACCTCGGACACCTCCTCCTCTCTGTCCGCTCTCCTTAAACCTTAAACCCTACTGCTCTTAGTGACGTGAAAACCCAGTCTGTCCGCTCTCCTTCAACCCTAAACCCTACTGCTCTTAGTGACGTGAAAACCCAGTCCGTTGTTGCTCGTCTTTCCCATTACCTCCTCCTCTCTGTCCGCTCTCCTCTTTTCTGTTTTTTAGCCCTACCCTGTACTGCTGTTGTTCCCCTTTCCTTTTACCTCCGTCACCTCATCTTCTCCCCTCACTGTCTTACCATTATCCATTTAAAAACCAGCTTCTCTCCTTTAATATTAGCTACCGCCTCTTGCCCTAGCACGTTCTGGACGAAACGAGTCCTGTACTCATTCGCCAGTTCTGGATGTTGCTGGCTTTGTCTCCTCACCCTCTTCCATTGTGCTCGCAGGTCAGTTTCGACTAGGGTGAGGAGAATCTCCTTTGCCTCCTGCTTATGCATTAACCGCTTTTCGATGGTGATTGGCATCTTCGTTTCCAAATAGTCCAGAGGCTGTATTGTCTGATCAGTTGGAACATGTGCGTCTCAAATAGTTGCCATTGGCTTGGGAGATCAATCCCCAGCAGTAAGGTAGTCGTCCATGTTGGAAAAGGCGCCTGTGAGAAGTGGCTCCAGATAGTCTTAACTTCCTCCCGAATACAACACGCCTCTGCGCATTCCAAAAGGCAGTGTAACATTGTCTCCTGGGTCCCTGCTTGGCATACTGTGCACAGTGCATTGGCCGGGTCCCTCCGGGTCTGACTTCTCCTGTCGTTTAACCATGCGTTCACCGGAAGGGCTACATGGGCTATTAACCACTGCATACTTCTAACTCTTCCCAGACGTATTGTGTTGATCAATGCCCATGGTATTTTGGGTAACTGGTTCGGTGGTACCCCTGCCCTGTTCTCCCATCGCTTTGACAGCGGTGCCGTGAGGAGGTGAGATCTCCTTCTCAATCTGTACCCGATTTGAGCGGTGTCGTGCAAAATGTTGACTCTTCTGGTCGCTCCTGTTCTTCCGCTTCTGATGTTCCACGCCCACTCCCCTGGATCCACCTCCAGATCTTCCACCAGAGTGGTTGGGTGGAATATTGTGAAGTCTTCTGTCTCAACCACTCTTACTTTACGCAGGTGCTGTTTTTGAATAGTGATTGGCGTTTTGGAGTCTCGATCCAGTAGGCAAGTGGTGCTGCCCGGATTTTTGATAGTATACATGTCTGCGTGCAACCATTCCCTTTGTGTGGGCTCTTGGTCCCATATTCTCAAGGCTTGCCCTAGTTCCTCATCGCTTTGCCATGTAGCCTAGTCTCCCAGGCCCCATTGTGCTCCTTTCCTTAATAACTCTGTCCATCCTTGTGGCATGGCCTCCAAGAGGACCTTGAGGTTCTCAGGTAGTCTGTGGCATCCCCTTAGGTCTGTCTTTAGTTCCCCGACAGTCTTCCACCGCTTTTCCCCCTCTGCCCATAAATGTTTTACCTGCCATGCCCCGTGCTCTAACCACTTCCCCCACTTAGTATCCTTGGCTGAGAGTGTTAATGATTTCCCCTGTGCATCCTTGATACTTGAATGCAGAATAACGGTTGGCGGATAACTTCTTCTCTCGTGTGTGGCTCCCTTACCTTAGCCGGGAATATGTCCTTCCACAGCTTCAGCATTTGACCCCGATACGACACCACCCTAGGTCTTTCCTCTGTACCCGCTCTACCGCCCTCCCCTCGACCCACATTGGCCCAAGTGCTCCACATGATCCAGAACTGGCCCGGCATATTCGGTGGAGTTTTATATTTTGCTATTTGCCTGATCCTATGTAGCGCCAACGGTGTCCAGGGTAGCTTTTGATGGGATATTAAGTTAACAACCCATTTCATTTGGAGCGCCTTGAGCTGCTGGTCCGGATCTAGAATGCCCAGACCTCCCTGTTCTTTCGCCCGGGTGACGTGCTTCCACGCTACCTTGGAAATGAAGTGTGGTTTGGTTGTGTTGGATGTCCAAAGGTATGCTGCCACTCGTCTGTGCTGGTGGGGTCCAGATTGTCCCTGCATACCATAACATGGAAAAGATGGAGGTGTTTAGCATCAGCGCCCTGCCGAAGACTGAAGTGTAAACCGCTGACCAAGCCCCCAGTTTTGCTAGGATTTTGGACATGAGATCGGCTGCCATCGAGTCATGTGGCCTGACTTCTTACAATTCACCGTTCTAACTGGATTCCAGACTGAATTTCCATACCCAGGAGGAGGTTGTCAGTTATTTTACATGCTGCACCTCCACACGGGCCCCATTTCAGGGGCCCGACGGTTGCTGAGGAGGCCCCAGGCCGCGTGCCCATCAGACACGCGCCCTGGAGGCCCACGGCGACCCTCAGGTCGCAGGTATGGATTTGCAACAGCATTTATTTATTTATTTATTTATTGCTGTCCTATGTTTGTCTGTTCCGATGTCATTTTGGACTTGCAGTCCCTAAGGCTATGCCTTGGGCCGAGTATGCTACATATAGCTGGGCCTCAGCTGAGCAGACACAGTTCAGGTAGCTCACTTCTTGGGCAACACGCTGCTGGAGCAGGCCGGGACTACAGCACTACGTAGAGGTTAGAGGTAGAGGCGTTGGTAGGCAGAGGGTCGGAGGCCATACCTGGAACGGCGGACTTACCCGGTGCCATCAGTGGGACTCCGCGTGCCGACCTGCACATGACGACAACGACGACGGCAGTCAGTACACGGTGGCAGCTACCTGTAGGTGAGGCAGCGAGGAGGAAGACATCTTCTTCTTCGTCGTCGTCTCGCCCTCCATCTTGTCTCCCTCCTTCCTCCTCCTCCTCCTTCTTCTTCAGAGAGAGAGATTACAGGCAGAGGTTACATCAGGCATTTGGCCCAGGATCTGATCCGACATTTTTGTGGCAGACATTGATTGGACAGTCGGCAAGGGACTAGTTTTGGAGTTCGCTATCGCAATCTTGGTCTTCTCCCTCACCTCCATCTTCGTCTCGCCTCTCCCACCATCTCTCATCAGTAGTATCTCCCCCATGTGCATGTGCAAGGAGGGACCTTTCTTTTGTGTATGCGGTCCCTCCTCCCTCTCTCTCTCACATGTGTGGTGTATGATGGGATGTCGTGTCAGTCTCAGACACGTCAGGTCGTGTCAGTCTCAGACTGCACTACATTGTGGTAGTTCGTATGTATCAGGATGTACATTGCTCGTTGATGCTTTGCTGACATTGCATTGTCCATTCCAGTCCTTTTCATCACTTTGCGGATCTGTGGCTCCATATACATTTGCCCAACTGGGCATGTATCAGTTGGTATCGGAACCCCGCGTCGTGAATCAGGATCAGGATCATACCTGACCTGACGCACAAGGGGATCGATCAATTGATTGATTGATTGATTGATTGATTGATTGATTGGTTAATTGATTAGGTTGACCTTAAAAAAAAAGAAAAGAAAAGAAAAAAAAAAAAAAAAAAAAAGTTTGACCTAATTAGTCCCCAATGCACGATTTTTAACCTAACTGCAAATTCCAAATTTTTTTTCTGCTGTTTTTCGGAATTCCTTCCTTAGCGCAAATTCGTTTTGTTGAAGTATTGCAAATTCCGAAATTGGGCAGCAATTGCAATTTTTTATTTTCGTTTTTTTAGGAATTTTGAACTTTTCCGTTGCTTGAATAATCCGAAATTCATGTTTCTCCAACTTTCTCGGAAAGTGAAACGGTATTCACCAGTTCGAAGTAGCTGATGCAGATCCCAGGGCTCGATCCCTAGTTCCCCAACTTACCTGTGTACAATACCTGTGTCAACTCGAAGAATTGAACCTGCGACCCGTAGAACCGCCAGTGGTAAGTAGGTCTGTCGTAGGTCTATAAGTAGCCAGGATTCGATCTGTAGACCTGTAGATTAGAAGTCTAGCTGCAGTCCTTCTAGAAGGTCGGCAAGTGGTCAAGTGGCGCGACTAAGGCAAGCCCACGTTGTAGACGAGGACAAGTGGCGAGGTCAAACAGCAGGACCCCAGTGCAACTGCACTGCGTCGTAGGGTCGTCGTCATGCAGTCAAGGGAGAGTCTAGAAAGTACCAGTCCGGTCCAGCAAGTACCACGGGGGGGGACTGTGTGCACCATGGGCCAGGGATACAGGGCAGACCAAGGCAGCGCAGAAGTATAAATCAAGAGGCTGCGTCCAGCCATTCATTCATTCCTGCGGATGCCATGCGGAAGCGCTGCCTCAGCAGCTTGTGCGAGGAGGTCTGCAGTGTGCCCGAAGACGAAGTGGGCAGAGAAGTGTAGTGTAGCGATAGGGTAGTGGCAGCTAGCGCTGCCATAGCCATAGCCTAGTGTGTGTGTGTGTTGTGTATGAACATTGAGTGT